GGGGGATTAAATATGGTTTCCTCGTGAGAGAAAAAAAAAGATTTTTAGCTTGTGATTATTTTTGTTCACTGCTTTCTGTTTCCAAAAATTCTGTAGATCTCTGAAGTGTGTTATTTAAGAAATATCCCTAAACACAGAAGTTTTGTTTATACCATTCTAGGTAGCCTTTTGTTAGAAATCCTGTGAGACCAAGCTTGAACTTGTACATTCAAACCATGCAGTGCAATGCTACCTTCCTGCTTTCCATATGTGTTTGCATAAAAATGATTGTTACGGGCTGCTGAGACCGGGACATGAGAAAGCAGGTGGTGAACTTTTGGATGCTTCGCTTTTACAAGTGCACTTCAGAACGCCTGTAATACCGAGTATGTGACAGTGGGTGGAACTGAAGTAATTAAAAGCAGCAGAATTTGGAAGTGTATTTGAAATTCTTGTGCAGGTACAAAAATGTCATCAGCGATTTTACAAGTACTGTTTATTCTCAGAGTCTCAGAGGCTGTCTCAGCCCTCAGTTGGTAAAAACATAGCAAAACCGCACATTTTGTAAAGGGGAAACAAAGGAATAAAACCACTAAAGCCTCTGTTCAAAGTTAAAAAGAAACTTTAGAAGGTGCTAGATGTTAGAACTAAAAAAGATAGGTATTTTCATTTTCCTAGTTCCATGTGAATGCCAGGTTGTCCTCTTAGTTTATTTTAAATAGTCTCAAAATCTGCTCCTTCTTAGGGAGGATGTATAAAGAATATCAGAGAATACCAGTCAAACATGTTTACGTACAATGAGGAGTGTTGCTTTAAATATGATGCCACGATACGATACTGCATTCAGCAAGTTTCTTTACTGTTCCTCAACCTCCAGTGATATTTGCATATGTACCATCTCTTTGATGTTACCACTGCTATCCCTCAAACACATCGTTACCATTACAAACTCGTCTCTTTTTTATCTTACCCCTCATTGATTTGGATGGCTAAAGCCATCTAAACGTATAGCACGCTTTTGAGCAGAGGTTATACTGCTTGGAGGAAAAACCAATGTGGTGCTAGCACTGTTTTTTCAATGTTTTGGAGCAGGTGATATTAAAGGTCTGTTATTAGGAACTGATTTGTCAGATCTAGTTGGAAACGGGAAGGCTTTGATAGTATTTTGGAGAGTATTTTTGAGCAGGAGTGGAAATTTAGTTCCACTGCTCCACTAGTTTCTAGCAAAAGAAAACAGTATCAGAAACCAGGAAACCATAATGTATCGGTGTTTTCAGTCTACAAGAAGTATTTTTTTTAAACTATCTGTAAGTTTGTCATTAACTTGATCATCAAAAGGTGCTCGGAGGCTCGTTGGAATACACCAATGCCAGCAAAGTCAGTTCTCGCTCCCTTGTTTTACGCCACGCTTCCTTTGCTGGCGCAGCCCCACATACCCCCTAGTTACAGCCAACGCGCTGCCCGCTGCTGCTTCCGAGTGCTGTGGCATCACGGCTTTCCTCCTTGATTATCTGCGTATGGGTATTGCTCTACAGGTGTTTCTATCACTATAGGAAAGCTCCTAACAATAACATGCAGATAAAAAAGATGGTTTGTCTCTAGGGTTACAGAACTGTCTGTTAAACTGCAGTACTGTAAAGTAAATATAATTTTAGTTCAGAACTGCTGTCTGGTTTTAAGTACAAATTTCCATTTAATGCAGTAGTGGATTCAGTTTGCAAATATAGAGATACTGGGTGTCTTTAGTTACGCTTCTTTGTCAGATTACATATTCTTTTTCTCTCTTCCATGGTCCTTAACCTTCCCCCAGTTTGGTATAGCTATGGCATTTGTCCAATTAGATTTTACTTTCTCTGGCGGACCAGATCTAGTATTACTATTTGCAGGGCTCCATAGCAGTATTCTCCAGTTCCATGCTTTTTTTAATTAGCTTTTCTTATGGTCTTTTAGTTAATTTTCAGTTGTGGGGACAACATTTTTATTTTCATGCATTTGACTAAAATTCCTGAGGAAGTATTTACAGAACAGTATGAGCCAGTTCTTTCACTTATGAAAATCTATCAAATTATAAATTTAGACCAGGCCTAATGCTTCACTTAGTGTTTTATGGAAACCCAAATATATAATAAAATTATCACTTTCTCAAAAGTTGCTTATTTTTTTAATCCTGTCAAGAAAGTAAGTTGGTTAGTTCTTTAATAGGACACCTTATATTGCAAAATAAACATAAAATGTTTAAAAACATCATTACACTTCTAAGAGCTTATTTTAATGCTTGTTACTGGACGTAGGAAGTTTTAAAAGGCATTTGGTGCACTTTGCTTTCAATACTGCTTACATTCTGGGGAAATCAGGAAGCTGGAATTTATCACTGTAATTATACAAAGTCTCTTGAACAGAAGTCTCTTGTTCATATAAATAGAAATACTAGTTTAAAATGTTAACTTCTCTGAATCTCTAAGGATTCACTGTTGATATTCTTAAAGGTAAATATTCTGTAAATATTACAGTAAACTAAAATTTTAAAGCCATTCAGTTGTTCTTAGAACCTCTTCCACAATTGTACTTTTTTACATAAATGCACTTTTTGTTACTTACTGACTCTTTGCACAAACAGATTCCGAGTCCTTTCTGTTTGATAACTAAAGGACTTAGGAACCTGTAAGGCTGGCTTCAGGCAGAAGTACTGGCCAAAACCCCAATTTGTCTTTGTATGAGGCAAAACACAGATAGCAGTAAAATTGTACCTGCCTTTTTTTTTTTTTAAAAAAAAAAAAAGTCAGGAGAAGTTGCAGGTAAGGAAAAGTAAAGGCACACCAGTGCTCCAAAATTCACCTGGTAGAACTTCAAACCCTGTAATTCTCATGGCTCGAAATTTGAAACCTGATTCTTTTGTACGAGAAGCTTATTGGAGGTAGTTATATCAGTCTTCAATGAAAACATTAGCTGCTTAGGGTATGCTTTGCTTTTAATTCAGGGGACTATTAATTCCTAGCTCTATTAATAGTGTAAAGTAAAACCAGTGGATGGATCCATTTAATCTTCAGTTTGAAACAGAACTTGGACCCTCCAAATGTGCTGAGTTAAAACAGCAACATCATCACTGGAGAAAGAACTTGAGAAGCAGCAAAAGAGCCGTGAGAGAAAATGACCTAATAGAATTTATAATGATGAAATATTTTACATATCTCTTTTAAAAGTGAATTTTAAAAGTAGCAAGCCTGAGCCACTGAAATAAAAACAAGCTGTGCTGTTTCATGACACTGGCTTGGAAGTTTTATAAGGTCTTGTAAAACATAAGAAAGAATTTCTATAGTGCCCTGAACATTTTGTAGAAAAAACTCAATTACTAGAGTGGCACTGAGCCAACTTCAATCAGTGCAAATGCTGCTGGAAGGAGCATCAGCACATTTCATGCTAAAATCACCTGCACAAACCCACAGGTGTGATGTGGTTACCAAAAACATAGGATAAAGATTCAGGCAGACTTCTCTAAGCTTTGCTTTTTCTTTTTTTTTTTTTTTTCCAAGTAAGTTCTTCGTTATTTTAATTAAATTGGCATAAATAGCAGAGGCCAATGGTGGAACAAAACTATTACATTTCATCTGAAGATTAAGATAAAGTGCAAAGGGAAGCAGGGTTGTTTAAGGGCGAGAGTGATTTTGTATAAGCTTAATTTTATAATGATTGTGGGCAGTGGGCACCTTTTCTTTTCTTCCTAACACAGATGGCCAAGAATAACCAGAGCACTATTTTAACCACACCAAGTAGACCTGCTCTGAGTAAATTAATCATTTACTATTTGGCAAACATAATTTACTGAATGTCTAGTAAAGCTTGGAGTTAGCGTTTCTTTTGACAAAATGAAACACGCTTTCTTCGTTTTGGAGGAATTTTGTGTTCACTGGTGATAAAAGGTGTCAAAACTGAAAATGTTGGAAATGTCCCTAAAATACTCTGTCAGTTTGTCTCAGCCATGGGTGACAAACTGTAGGGACAAGGCATTCAACGTATCCCTCCTCTCAGTTCCTTGGATTTCTGCTGTAATTGCCAGCAAGGATGTGGAATTGCCAATATTGGAGGTGCTGGATTTTGTGGTGTGAATGATCATGGGCTGCAGCCTGGACCGAGGCCAAAGAAGTCGTTTCATGTTTGCCAGCAAGCAGCCTTCCGAGAGCAAGAGCTTTCAATTGCTCTCAGCTTGGATGAGTTTTAAACAGACAATCTCAATGTGGAGAACTCATTACCTTGATTAATTCCTGACCATCCAGATCCTGGTCAGTAATGTAGTTTTCTAACATGTATTTCCTGGTTTTTGAGTGAGCTTCAATAAAGGTTCTAGAAATAGTCTATGCCGGTGATGCAAGGAGAGGACTACTATTATATGCTTATCATTTATTCTTCCACAGAGGTGGGTTCCCGGCATATTGAAAATTTTCAAAGAATGAAACAGATTGGTTTGGCAGACCTGAAGAGCCTGAATTAATTCACCGATTAGAGCATTTGAACACTGCTCATGTGGAACAGCAACGTAAAGGTATGTCTGTTCAGCCCAAACATATTAAGTCCTTGATTTCATACTTTTTCAGGCCCTTGAGCTCTTTGTTTAAATTACCTGCAGTGTCAATTAGCGGTAATTAATACACGGATGGAAGGATGGATTTGATGCAATCTGATGCATTTTAAGGAATTAGTATTAAAAGCAGATGTTTGGTGTTCTGTGTTAATTACTAAGCTAGTCCTTTTAAATATTATGTAGTTTAAAACCTAGGAGCGATAAATGTATGTACTAACAGTTTCAACTATTTAGAATCATTCTGTGTATTAATGTCCACGTGTAGGTGTGCATTTGGGAAGGGGAGTCAGATTTAGAGCCATCATACCTGCCAGTGGTTTTATCTGAAGCTCATTTTAAGTAGTTAATTTCAAAGTTATTCGGTTTCTTACTGAAGAAAATAATTCCTCAAAGCTACAATCTACTTTTCCCTCAAACGGTACCCAAACTGATATTTCATATACTTTTATCCTGAGTTACTGTATAAATCCGAGCTGTACTGGTGTGTCTGGAGGGTAGCAAAGGTAGAGATGTGCCACGCTGCGGGCAGCTCGGGGAGGAACTCTGCCTGCGGAATGCTCACACAGCCCAAACTGGCGCGGGGAGGCAGCTCCCGCTGTCTCCTCTCCGATCTATGGTAACCCCCTTCCACCAGGCCGTTACCGCCCACGTGGCGCAGGGCTCGAGCGTGTTCCCTGCTCTCCAGGACACGCATCCGGACGCAGGCATTTACTGACACCCTTTTTGTTCTGACATGGGAAAGGTAGAGCAGAGCATTGCTGCCCACTGTCCTGGGATCACAGGGAACGGAGGAGCTGCTCAGCCCTTCCAGTGACCAGTATATGTACTGGAGTTGTACAACATTTGGAACAAGGGAATTCATTAATATTATTTGTATGTTGTATGACTTTATGCAATTCAGCTGAGAATAGAGCCCCTAATTGGTTCAGATTTCATAAATAAGGACTCATAAAAAGTGATCCAGAGAAAAAGCAATTAGGGATCAAGATACACTTTTAGAATTACTGTTTCAGGATATAGCCTGAAATTCCTCTGTATGCAACAACTGGAGCACTATTTAAATTAGGAAAATTAAAGAGACCAGATTCTCCTAAGGACAGTAAATATCAGTAAGTCCAACATGTGAACGACTGCTTCACATAACTCCATGCTGGAAATACCAATTCTGCCATTCCTTTCTTTACTTCTGATTTTTGTTTTCAGACATGTGAATTAAAAATTAATTTCTATTGCATTCTTTTTGATAGGAATCCCAAGCATGAAAAAGTTAGGTATATCCGAACTCCCTATTTCCTTTTTATGATAATCAATTAAGATAACAATACATAAAATCCAGTTCAAGTGCAGTGTTTCCAAGATAACCCACACACTAGGATGGCTTTCTTTGGCTTTTATGGCTACGTGCTTACCTCTGGGGTCAGTGCATTGTTATCTGAAGTCTGACTCGACAGCAAAATATGTGTGAAACCATCTTCTTTCCGGACTACAATGTCCCTGAACCGGCAGTTACTTTCATTTTGACGCACGCTGTATCTTAGTCTCTTATCGAAGACATAATCTTTCTCCCCATCTAGTTTCCTTTTCACAGTGCTGTGTAGATTCAAGCTTCCATTGGCAAGAGAAGAACCTTTCAGATGGAAAGAATCAAAGCATAATCATGTATATACCTTCAGAGAAATGGAGTGATACTTTCTATTAGCTTAACCATAGCTCAGTATTTACAATAGCCTCTACGTGATAAATTTGATAGATCAAAAATAGCTTGGCTACTCAAATGTGGCCTCAAGCCATTTTTATTATTCTATACTCCAACATGCAGTACTTTTTCTTCTCTGATCAGACAACCTCTAGATCCAGTGACTTGTAGCATATAGGACTGGTACTCTTAATGGGATTCAGTTCCGCTTTGAAGATGAAAGCAACTGTATCATAGTCTTTCATATGAATTTGGGGGGATCCCTGAATTCATTGGAAAATTCTAATTCAGCTTTGGAAAAACCTGACATGACAGGTTTAGTCCAAATCCCATCCTTCAAAGTTTCATTTTCTTCCTTTTATGGTGACCAGAAAGTCATTATCAGTTTCAAATGACAACCTGAATAGACACTTGTTGCACATCTGTATATGACAGAAAGCTGGGGGAGTTCTTACTAAGCTGACACAACCGGCATTCTCTTCTGCGTATCCTGGTGGTTAGCGTTAGAAGTAGCAGCTGGCCATCCTCTTTGCTCTGATCCCAAGCCTCTGCTCATTACATTCTACAGTAACAATAATTACTGACTTTTGACTAACAGCTGGGATATTAATTTTGGGCTTTGTACACAGAAATATTAATGCTGATGCCATTTTGGAGTGTATCCAGCAGTAGGAAAAAAAGGGAACTATGACAAGAAAGATACAGTTCCTCCTTAAAAATAAAAGAGAGTAATAGTGCATCAATTTTAAAGGACAGTTTATTCAGACTTACACTGTGTATGCACGGTAAACTATTACTTTGCTTATGTTTACAGTTCCTCTTTAATAGGCAATATATTATGATTGGTAACAATGCTGAGCCAGAATGTTGAAAATATCGTTACAAGATTTGTATGCAATACTCCTTTCCTAATTACAGATGTTTCACACTATTGCCGTTAGAAGTAAAGCAGAGACAGGTTGTTGAGGAACAGAGATTAAAGTCACTCCATTCACTGAAATAGTTTCCAAATCTGTTTTTTGTTTAAATAGACATGAGCCCACAACACGCCACATTTAAGAAAGGCCAAGAAAGAGCTGAATGAAAACACCTTTGTTTGTTCCGTTCTTTACCCTGCCAAAGCTGACCCGTTCCAGCTTCTGGTATCAAATAGCCAGGAATTTTTAAAGGGCAGATGACATGGATATTACAACATAGATTTTAATTTTGTAGTTTAAATGACCACCATCCAATTAAAAATGCTCTGATGGAATAGAATTGAACAGTGAATTCATAACAGCTTACTCTCTAAACCAAAATCACTTACCCTCATTTTGGATTAGCTATGTTTCAACTTGATTTTGTGTAGGTAAGTTAACTGGCTGATACCCCTCAGCTGGCAAAGGCCTGTGGAATTGTTCGCAGTGTGTGGAATGCCTGTATATACGCTGCAGTTACGATATGTGAGGTTAAAATATATAGAGTGCTTAATAGTATTTAACTGGTACCTCATTTGGCTTCATTGTGTAACGTGTGCATGTGTGTACACATATATCTACACACAGAAATGCAAGTTTGTTAAAAAGTCTGCTATTTCAGACAATCATAAAATTGTTTTTCATTGTTAAGAGATACCATCTAAAATATTGCCTATATTACACTGAAGAGAAGATTTAACTGGTGCAAAGCAAACATTGACAAATTACATTAGATCATCAATTTGAAGAAAAAGCATTTGAAGCCAGCAGAATTGGAAATTTGTTTTCTTGACAAGAATTATATACAAGTGTAGAAATCACCATGTGCTTGAATTTTTAAAATTACGAATTATTTCTGATGGCATGTTTCTTCTTTTTCATACGGTTTTGCTACTGCATATATTTTGACATGTATTCTTAAAAACAAAAATCAGCTTGTGAAGTTACTAATGGAAAACTAATAGCATTGGGAATAATATACTGAAACAAATTAATTATTTGACTGAGGCAGACTTTTAAATATTGCATTTTTATCTATTCAATCCTTACTATGTTGCTTAACCCAGCAATAAGCTACTAAGATGTGAAGAGTTAAATCTCCCCAAAAAGTGTAAAGAACTTATAAAATCAGAGGCACAAATGAACATTGAATGGAAGATGTGTCAGACTAACTGTGCTGATTATCCACCTAGTGTTGAAGATTACGCCACATTGATTTTAAATACAGATGTTAAGAGAATGGTAGAAGATTAATTTACATAGATAATCCAGCTCAACAAAAAGCCTCATAGTAATAATTTTAATTTTTTGTTGTAGTCTTGAGTAATGTATTCAGTTTGTAAATTAAATATATGATGTAAGAAACTATAGATCTTATAAAAATATTTTAACTGTCTGCACGCCAGCTGACAGAAATTTAACCAGAGGAAAGAAAGACCTAAATTAAATATGAGAGAAACATAAATGGAAAAGTGTCGTTTCCAGGAACGGATGATTAACAGAACAGCATCTACTGAGCAAATTGTTGTTTCAGTGTATACTGTGCATCCCCGTAATCTTGCTTAACCTGATAAACTGGAGAAAATGATCAGCAAAATCCAATGGCAACACTCAAGGGAAACCAGGCCAATTTAGGATGTCTGTTGCCTGGATGTGATGGAGCTACTGCAGGTTTGGTCTGGAGCACCAGAGCATCCAGGCTGTCTCTGCATGAGGGTTAACAGCACCTGCTTAATGCACATGAGGGTGACACTACCTTAATATGTCACGATGCAAAATGACTGTGACATGGGAAAAAAGAGGCATTCTCAAAGCAGTCTATACTGCATGTGAAACAAATTAAGGATGTCACAAATTAACTAAGGAAGCTTTAGGTACCTCTAAATGTGGCTTACTGGCGTAGTAATGAGTATTTGATGCTAAGTCTAAGTACAAAAAGAAAACAACGGGAGAAAACATTCCTTCCTTTAGGGGGAGTTTAATCTAATTATTACCTTGTTTTTAGTCAGCAGTAGAACATGTGGAATACCTAAAAACACACTGGTGTTTAGAAGAAGTTTCACTATTTTTTAAGGGAACTTCAGATGTTTCCCAGACCACTGGTGCATCTAGTAATCCTTCTCCGAGAATGGCAGTAAAGGATGCTATGTAAGGAGAAAATGCAAGCTTGGCCACTTTCTGCAGTTCCCTCCCCTCCTATCACCCCTAAGTGTTGTACAGCAACATGAGAGGATTCATCCTTCCTGTTTACTTCAGTATTTGCTCATGGACCTTTGCATACATTTCTCTAACCTGCTTTTGAGCCTGCTGATGCTGTCTGTCTCCACAGCCTCCTGTGGTTAGAGTTTGAGAAGTTGTGTAGCCACTACACAGAGAAGAATTTTCTTTCATCTGTGCTTTTATCTGATGTTCTACCAGTTTCAGTGAGTGGTCCCTAGTTCTGCTGTTGAGGGATTTAGTGAACAACAGTTCTGCATTTACTTTATCTGAGGCCCTGATGATTTTGTAAACTTTGATCATATTCACCCTCAGCCTCCCCCTCTCCTAACTGAAGCCTCTTTTGTTCCTGTAATCCTCTTCATTTTAGTTGCCTGTCCCTGTATCTTCTCTACCACGCCACTACTGTCAAAGGGTTACTGCTGCTGCTGTTGGTACTAGAAAGCGCTTACAGACTCCAGACTGAGCCTGAGACCGGGGCTCCATTACACTAGGCACTGCAGAAAACACATTAGAAATTTAGAGTCTAAAAAATGAGGCAGACAAAGAGTAGGAGAGGGAAGAGAGAGAAGATCGCAATGAGCCTCAGATCACTCAGTGCTTCAGAGGACTCGGATCCCCCCCTCTCCTTCCACTGCTTCTACGCACTAGAAGAGGTCACCTCAAGCTACCGCGATTTTCAGATGTATCTTTTCTTAGTGTTTCAGCACAGTCAGTTTAATGGAGCAGTCTCTGTGCCACCACCCGATGTAGTGGTCCTTGTGTTGGTACCAGCATGCAGGTGGGTAGCCATACTCTGAACTGACCTGACGAACTGTTCTGGCTGGAAACTCACCCTGCAAAACTGTGGTTCGTTTTCAAACAGATCGGGCTCACCTTGTAGCCTCAAGAGTACTAGAACTAGTGCAGGGAAAGGGATGGGAATAATGATCATGGGATGGAGGGCTGGACTGTTCCTTTTGTTAGCAGCATGCATTTGTGCTGAATGAAAAGGATCATGGAGCTGGGGCTTTAATTTTTCTAGGTGAAATAAACCATGCTCCCTTACTCTCCCTAGTAAACCAGCTTGGCATTCCTCAGTCTTCCCAATAGCCTTTCTCTGTCTCCTTTCTGTCTTTCTTGTGGGTAATGGTTAATACTGTACATACTTAAAAGCAGTGTTCTGTTGATAATTTACTAATAATTTCAGACTTCTCCAGCTAAGGGAGCATCTGTAAGATATCTAAAAGCAATGAGTTTTTATCCAAATTGAGAAAGCAAGCATATTTGGTTGTCTTTTACTGCCAGTATTGCTCCAGAATAAATAAAACAGAACAAGCTAAAAAAACAAGAGGAAGCAGTGACTAAGTTCATAGAGAGTATTTAAATTAAGAGCACCATGAGACTACAAAGATTTTCGTAATGGAGAAAAACAGTGGTTAGTGATACATGACAAGCAAAAATTCTTCAGCAGATGGTACAGAAATAGAAT